TTGTTTCAAAATGGCGCTTTTAAAGTTATCCCTGCTGTACATCCAGCATCTCTAATCCGGTGTTCACAGATGCCATCCAGTCAGAGGTCTGAAAGTTGATATCTCCTTACTATCCCATCTCGGCAACATGTATAGATTTGCTTCTCCCAGGTAGCCACCTAAGGAAAACATGACAAAAGTCATATTGGTTCATAATCCCCCCCCACTTATCCAACGGAAGGGCAGGAGAAAAGGGGAAGAGCATTCGTTTGACGGCTGGAAAATGGCTACCAAGAAATCCATTCAAAGTGACCCTGAGGGTACCCTAAAGAAATGGGAATACAGCTATTTCTACACTGATCAGAAAATACACAGGTTGAGTTCCTACATTTTATTTAGGTGGGCCTTTGGCAACCGCCCTCTTGCTGCTGGTGGGGCTTTTAGGAAAGGGTGCTGGGCTTTTTTGGCCACACGTGCTTTTAAACTTCCTTTTCATTCAGCAGTGTAAATATTAATGGTCAAAATCCCATTAATTACCCTTTCAACCTTAATGCAGATGGTTTAGCCTTTGGAGGCAAAGTGCCTCAAATTAATATCTATTGTGTATGGATTTACATGATTTGGAGTACCGCCAAGGACGCTACTGTGGTTTCTTAACGTGAAGCAATTCACCTGGAGACCTTATGCTGTTTGTGTTATGCTCCCATCAAATCGCATAAGGGTTTTGGCCTACGCTTTGTTTAATTGTGTTCTGATGTATTGTTATTGTTTTTAATTTGTCATGGCTGTCGAATCTTGTTGGGAGCTAGTTCCAGTTTTGAAAAGAAAAAAAAACTGGCTTGAAGCGGGTTGGAGGAGGGAAATGTAGTGAAAGGCCCTGGGAGTGCAGCAAGAGGAGATGCTGGGGTCTGCTGGATTCACACGATGCTGTTCCCCCACCTCTGGTTCCATGCCCCTTGGCCTATACAGCTTGAAATAGCCTCCCCATATGAGCCCTGCCCTGTCTAATGAAGACCTGGCAGAGCATTCTTATCTAAATTTCTTTGTCAAGAAATCAGCCCTTGTCTTGAGCAGGGTTTTATCACCCTTTCAATTCCTGGAGGAAGACATTGACAGAGCCCCTCCCGCTGTTTCAACAGAAATCTCCAACCCACTTTTTTTAAGTTCGCTTCCAGGAATTGATCTTCTGTCGTGGCATATTTTATTCTTGCTTATTTCAAAACCCAAAGGCTTATTTCAAAACCCAAAAGGTGGTACTGCCCACAGGATTCAGAGAATATACAAAACTGGGAAGCCTTTTTCCACAGACGGGGAAAAATAGGATTTA